GAATTACAAATTTTTAATAAAATCAAAAAAAAAATCTAAAACTAAGACCTCATTATAAAATATAATTTAACAAAAAAATCGAGTTTGAAAATAAAATAAAAAATTCAATACGAACAATAACTCGAAATAGAATTAAAAAAGTTAAAAGTTACTCATTATTGAGGCCAGAGCGTAACACTTACGTAAATTAATATATCGGGCAAGGAGAACACACACACACATAATCACCGTTGTAATTATTGTTTTATTTTTGTATGTTCTTATTTCAGTCCCGTGTGAATTATTTAATATGTAGATATCCCCGTTATCGTATGCCGCCGCACCGGCTACGCGGATATTAATTAACACGGCCGCCGCGACTTTTTATCTCGCATCGTACGTAGTCGGGTTAACACGGCGTGTGCCAAAATATTTTATTATATAATAATTTCATCTCAAAATAGTGAAAATTTGGTTTTATTATAATCATTAGCGCCAGAAGAGCCTACTTATTATATTGTGATACAAATTAAATTATTATAACTTTGTGTCGGCGCGAATCGCCAATTTTATTACATTTGTGTGTTAACACCATTTTGCGTGTTTTTATTTTTATGTTATTATTATATAGCTAGGCAGCGGCTGGCCAGCAGTGCACCGACAACCTGTGAGTTTTATTTATATTATTATTTATGCTATAATACATATTATTTAGTTGTTAGGCGAAAAGGGCCATTTATTTATTATTAGTATTTTGTTGAGCCATGAGGGCTATACATATTTATTATTGTTCTGTCGTGCCACAAGGGCCGTACATTATTTTGTACTATTATATTCTATTATGCCATAAGGGCTATATATATTTATTATTATTTTTATTATACTTATTTAATTTTTAAGCCATAAGGGCCGCACATTAAGTAATATTTATATTAATTATTCTTACACGAGCATCAGCTCTGATAGCTGTGCTTATCATTATTTGGTTTGGTTCGTGCCATAAGGGCCGAGCATATACTCTCACTCTGTTGGGCCAGAAGGGCCAATTTATTATATTTGTATTGTCAATCACAAGGGCTGCACATCTGCATTATTATACTTATATTACTTAGCCATAAGGGCTGTGATTTATTAATATTATTTTTATACATTTGTATTGCTGTGATTTTATTATATATTTGTATTATTATTATTGTGTATTATACAGCAACAGCAACTATTAGCAAAAACCTTGTTACCATTTTATTATTATTTGTTTTATTGTACACATATCTACATACATACACACATTCATACACAAATACACACATTTCACAACACGCATTACGTAGCTCGACAGTATTTGCCCGGCCATCCCGACCACTGCTGTTCGAGCTATTACACCACTACACACCTCGCAGTCCTCGCATATTTAAGACCTAGGTGTTAGTGGTGAGCAACAAAGGTGTCCGGAGTGCGCATAATATCATTATATACTTCCGGCGCTATCACTCATAATAATCTATTTTGGATTTAATCTTATTTAAATAAAATCTAGATTTCATAAAAAAATCTAATTTGTTAAAAAAAATGTAATTCAAATATACAAATCTATTTTTCCTAAAAATCAATCTGAAAAAGTTTTTTCATAAGATAAACTAAAATGCGGTGGTTGGATTGCTAATAATATTTTTCCTAAAAATCAATTTGAGAAAATAATCAATAAATTAATGACTATAAGATGGTGATTTGAAAAATTAATATAACATAGAAATAATACATTGTGTTAAATGTTATAACTGTAAACGGTATTTAACAACATGCTTGTACATTTACTAATATACGATGGTTAAATTTTTTTGTAAGTTGACAATTTCTTTGTTAAGTACTGATTTAAAATATAATGAGGCTTAAATTAAACTAGTCGAGCATTTCCTTGGTACCCCAACGTAAATAGGCTATAAATCGAGAACGGTGATTTTACGTCGAAATTTTCGGAGCAAACAAGAACAATCGAAAGCCACGGGTTTGGTTCCGAAATTCGAAACTGGGGTAGCCAGAGAAATGCACCTCATTTTACACAACACGCGCTACTTAGCTCAACAGTATTTGCCCGGCGATCCCGACCACTGCTGTCTGAGCTATTACACCACTACACACCCAGCTTCTCCATAATTTTAAGACCAAGGTGTTAGTGGGGCGTAATTATAAGTTGGCGACCGGGCGCGCGTATTATCGTTATATACTCCCGGCCCGTACAATACCGATCATTTTTTACCTCTGGGCCGAGCACCCGTGCAGATGAGATGCAATGCTTTCGAAGGTCCAAGGGAAGAGACCGGACACGAGTCTACGACGACTATCGGTGAGCCGGAAGCTCATTAGCTGCCGGCCTAGTGGCGCGGTCCGCTCCCTCGTCCCGGTCACTCTGCTGAAGGAGGAGCCGAGGACACGACCATTGCCCGCGGAACTGGCAGCCCTGCACCACCCGAGCCTTGTCTCGGGAGCACAAGCCTGTCCGTAGCGGCGTGGCCGTGCCTGACTTAGAGAAAACCGACCCGACAGCAACCAATAAAGGACACCACCAGGTCCGTATCTCGAAAAAGAGAAAGGGCCTGGCAACATCCAACAAAGGACATCGCCGGGCTCGTCTTCCCAGCAAAGGAGGCAGCCATATGACATCCAGCAAAGCACATCGCGAGCCCACCCGTCACGGGAGAAAACCCAACGAAACCCAGTTAAGGACGACGGCCGGTTTCCCGTCCGCAACCGTTAGGGTTAGCGCCGGTGTACTCGTTCACGACAACCCTCAGACCCTATGGCCGGGTTACGCCCTCGACGCCCACTGACCGAACGACACAGCAGGACAGTCAGCTTTTTTCGCAGGTTGCTCCCAGCCAGAGGTATAGGCCACCGCTCCCGGGTACACGACTTGGCGTCATACGCCTTCGCATGCAACCCCTGGGGCCAGTTCAACTTACAAGGTACCGACCTTTGTCCATGACCGGAGATACCAACCTCCGGAAGTTCTACTCCACGCGAGCCGCAGCTAATTAAGGAAACGATCTGGCGTAACTTGCGTCATAACCACCTAAGGTCACGGGGCAGTCTATATATTGACAGCTGGTTCGGTGTTAGCAAGCCGCCGCGCCGCACGCTATGTTCCCGGTACCAGTATCTATCTYCTCGTGATGTGGATGCCCCGACCGCGAGGGAATTGTGCAGGTTGCCAACCCCGCAACACCAAGCGAAACCCCAGAACTTGGATGTGATTTCGCTAGATGGAACTGAGGTGCAATCAGAAAAATCAGACTCACCTGAAGTAGTCTTCTAATTCTTGTATAGAAACAGGTTCATTTGCCAACCTTTCTTTTGATTTGGTTTGTTTTTGAGCAGAGAGAAACTAGTAGTCTTCAACTTTCTGTTTTTATCAGAGTGGTGGTTGCCTATGATGGTAGTATGGTTCTGTAGAATCATAATGCTATGCAGCGGGTTTGACTATTGAAGTTGACAACTTCATTTTTGCAGGAGACTTTCGCAGCTGACGATACCTAGTTTATAGAATATGTTAACAATTTTAATATTTTATTACTTAGGAAAGTGTAGCTAGTTTTTTATTGTTCGTAATATTTCCTAATAAATATTATATTAATCTTTTCCATTTTCGCTGTCAATGCCACATCCGTTTTAATGTAATTTGTTTTTTTATTATTAGTTATAGGGTTCCAAAATTGTACTACCTTTTTAGTTCTAATATGATATTTGCATAAGAAAAATAATGAATTATTTATATAAGCATAGAAAATGGAATAAAATCTATTATTGTGTAACATTTAATACGTTGAATTGTCCTCTCAATATGTATTCGAGCTTTTGCTATCGATTCAGTCTGAATAATTTGTTGTGCACTAAATTGTTAAGTATTTAGGAAAGGTGGAATATTCAGTAAAACTCCAGGAGGTAAAATATCACCAATTAAAAATCCCTTGTCTGCCATTATAACATCATCGGGAACTAATTGTTCTAAGATACCACTTTTTAAATTTATGATTTTGCCTGAGGTTGAGCCTGGATATAAGCTGCTCACTAATTTAACAACACCTTTTGGAGCAATTCCAATAAGGACTTTCCAAGTTTTTCTGTGATTATAACTTCTGTAAGTATCCCGTTGTATATTCATTGATTGGTAGGATACTGATCTATACATTTCAGTGCAATCAATTATAACTCTACAGTTGGGGAATGGTTTAAATGCATTTGGCAAACAAGTTTTATTCTTATACCTTTGATGGCCATTCTTTCATAAATTTAGAAAAAATAATGTTACGTAAAATATTTATCCAAGTAATAAGTATATTACTTACAGTGGCTTTACTACACTTACACCTTACAGATAAATCAAAATGAGAGAAATTATGTCTTAATTTAATAAAGGTCATAAGAATCTGAGCAGGCTTACTAATACTTTCAACAGTCCTCTTCAAATGATAATTAAATTAAACATTTTTTTACTAAATTGTAAAGAGCCATTAACGCAGTATTAAGGGTAGCCCTGTGTATGAATTTATCAAATCATTACTTTGATTTAGGTGTTAAGTAAATGCAATTGCTAAATTATGTAACTGTAATTTAAGTTCTTCGTTTTTTTTTTTTTGTAAAAAATTATGTTCAGCATCAACCACCACGATAGAACTATTTGCATGATAGCTTTTTGATCACGCACTAAAAAAAAAAAAATATATTTATGTTTAATTAATTTAAACATTCTCTACTAATTGCATGTTTAATATACCTTAAATTTGATGATGAATTATAATTTAACGATAAATTTAGTGGTTCATCACTAATATCATTGGCTGTATTTGTTGTTGAGATACTTTCATGGCTAAGTGAGTCATCTGAGATATTAGTATCAGCTTGCATGGTTACTTTTTTTAATAAAATTTCGTTTTTTCTTTTTCTCTGGTATTAAATTATGCGGATTAAATTGATGAGATCGGTGAAGGAGAAACGTAGGCTCATTATTTTTTTTATCATCTGAAATGACTGCTACAAAAACGAGCACTCCACGTTCATCTATTCCTCTTGATACAACTTTCAGTGACATGTCGCGAACAAGTTCAGACCAGAACGGTTTTAGTACGTTACGTTTTTTGTCCGTGAGAAATTTTCACGATGGGCGAGTTATAGCGCACTAACCTCTATCACTGAATATTCAAAGTGTGAAGTTAGAAGTGTGATCCGTTTTCTCGCTCAAGAAGGAGTCATTCTCACTGAAATTCATCGTCGACTTGTCGAGGCATATGGACCAGATGTTATGAATCGCCAAAACGTCACCAAAAGGGTACGAGAATTTCGAGAAGGAAGAATGAGTGTGCACAATGAGGAGAGGAGCGGCCGGCCGTCTTTTGTGACCGACGATTTCATTCAAAAAGTCGAACAATTCATCCAAGAAGATCGTTGTTTGACTCTCGACGAACTTCTCGAGAAGCATCCAGGTGTTTTCGATCTGTTCTGTACGAAGTAATCACGAATCGACTTGATTACAGGAAACTGAGTGCTCGTTGGGTTCCAAAAATGCTTACGGAAGAACGTCTTCTGTTTGTGATTGAGGCAGGAAGAATGTTTTTAGAACGTCATGATGAACAAGGAGAGGAATTCTTGGACAGTATAGTGACAGGGGATGAAACTTGAATTTCCTAGATTAGGTTAACCAAGAGACAATCGATGCAGTGGCGCCATACACATTCTCCCAGCGCCGACGACGAGGATCACAAACATTACACGACCACATGGCTACAGGAGGTGGCGCGAACAGAGTACGACGCCGGCATACAAAAACTCATACCACGTTACCAAAAGCGTTTGGAACTCAATGGTGATTATGTCGAAAAATAATTAGATATATACCTTTAATGCTATGTAATTTTTTTTAAATAAAACGGTTTTGTGTATTTTTGGTAATAATTTTTTTAGTGATATTGAATATCTATAACCTGGTTTTTTCTTAAATTTACACATTAAATGAGATCTAACAATCAAAAGTAAAGAAGGAGATAACAATTTTTGACATTGCTTTAAAAAATATCTGTGAAAATAATTTTYAGCTAATATATTACTTAGTGTTGGCACAGTCTTTTCCAAACTCTTAATTTTTTCCTTCGCTTTTTTCATTTACGTTCTTAAAATAACTTTCCTGGGTGTAGAATAGGATAAATGATCTGGTGTCTGAGAATATGATTCATAGGTAGTATTGAAAGATAAGCCTAAGATATAATACAAATTAATAACATTTTTATAAAAGAGAAAATGGTTCGTCTGAATTATTAAAGTATTATATTTAAAAAAAAACTAAATATAGGTTCCTATATATTTGCCTTAATATGATAAATCTATAATTCATTATTTAATTAACTTGTACTAGTACATGGAATAGGACTTGAGCTTTCCGTTGGTGTAGAAAGATCATGTGATTCGTTTGTTGTTAAATCACTATTTGATTCTTATTTGGCGAGAATTTCATCTAAAATTTGTGAGAATTAAATTATTTGTAAAAGTCTCTTTTTTTCCCAAAAGCCAGCCAGTACTATAAATATCTTACCACTGAACAATGTAGAGGAGCTGCAAATTCTGTCAACCTGTTTTTTTTTATTGACATTATGGAACATTTTGTAGGTTTTGAGCGGAATGGGTAATAACGAAAGACAAGCTTCGAACGACAACACACTTTATTTAATATTATGTTAAAGTATTGTAGACCTGTGTGACGTTGACGACGGTCAGGCAAAAGCTGCCTCCGTCGTCCTCTGTTCTGGCCGGGCCGGAATAGGAAATTCATACGCTTCTTAAAACATGAGCAACTGTTACAAGAGGTATTTATATTTCATCTTATTTAATTAATTTATTTATTTAGAAATAGATTAATTACGTGATATCAGGTTCGATTGGAAAAACGTTTACCGGGAGAAGCAAGTCCAACACGTCGTAGAAAGTACAGAGATGTTAATAACAAAAGTAATCGTGGAAAATTGCTCTGAAATACCAACAGTTCAATATTTAAGAGGTTTATTTTATAATGTTCAGTATTAATCACTAATTTTAATTTAAATAATTAATTTTTTAACTATGATGTTTTTAAAAATTTTTCACAATTATTTTTTTATAAGGATCATACTAATTACTAACACTATATTATTTAACAATTATTATACATTTTGCACACAATATATTTATAAAAATAAAATAAATAAATGATATTATGAATAAACCTTTAAAAAAAATCAATTTAATAGATATTTTCATAAAATTTATTTTGACAAAGATATTTTGACCAAAGATATTTTGACCAAAGATATTATGACATGGAATCGAAGAGACTTGCTCTGTTTTTGCTTCAAAAATAATTAGGATACCAAAAAAGAATGTACAAAAACACCAAATCAACAAAACTGTTGAAGAAATAATTAGAAACTTTTAACTTTTAAAATTTAAATGCTTTTAACTTAAAACAGTTATAACTTGCTTGTTATTATGTTAAAACAAAACAATATGTTATCATGAGAAATTCTTGATATCATACAGCCATAACATATTACCAATTCACTAAAACATATGAAATTTAATTTTTCTATCAATGACACACTGATATGAGAAGTACAAAAATTTGTTTACATTTTTACGATTTGGAGAGTGTATTATTGGGTTTTTCTTAATCTGTGGTGTGGTAGTGATAAGAAGAGATTTTACAGCTGACAACAATGGTGAAACACAGTCTTAGATGATACACTTAAAAATAAGCAATAATCTATAATAAAGAGTAAACATATTAATGAATAAAGATACTGTAAACTAAACATTTAGTATGCATAAATAAAAATCAGTATCAGTTACTAATCTAGGAGTTATTAAATAGACGGAGCATCCCACGAGGAGGATGGTTGTGGGAGTAGTTATAACGGTGACTGGGAACATGGAAAAGAAAGTGATTTATTGTAGAATTTTCAGGAAAGCAGAAAGTGACAGAAGACAGAGTCAAAGACATCAACTGTACCATTAAGGAGAGAAGTGATGGATTAGCATCTACTTGGCGAGAAGCAAGAGTTGGGATATAAGATAGAGGCATAAATACATTTTATTTATAATGATCCATATTTTATAGTTTTAAATAGATAACCCTATTTATCTATAATCTTGGTGTTTACTAACCATATATAGGTAACTACTTATGTATAGTATAACAATATCGGTAACTAGCTTTCTCTTAAAGCAATCGTGAATACAATAGAATAGTCCATCTATGTCGTCAATATCTATGGTTGAGTAGGAACGTCCAGTGACTTCACATGCTGAGAAATTTTACAATAATTGGGACGAATAGGTTGTTTCGTGAGTATTCACTGGTGGCGCGACTACGGCTCCGACAGTAGTAATGATCAGCAACAGCTGACTACGAGAATAATAAACACTGGATTCTAAGGAGAATTCAATGTAATTTTCATAGAGTGATAAGGCGCATTCTCCATTACTATTACTGAATTTTCTTTCATTAAGAGGACGCCATACCGAAAGTGAAACTTATACAACGACCGAGAGAACGCGCTGTCGGGTGTTTTCGCGATGCGCAAGCACGCGAGTTTAAGCTGACGATTGTGCTCATTCGTAAGCAACGTTTTTTATTTTCTCAACCTTCATCTGTGGAGGATCGCATAATTTAATATAAAATGGATGCACGTTATACGTACATTATGCGGCATTGCCACCGTAATATTTTTAATATTTGCGCGTCCTTACGCGACTTGTATTTATTGCATTTTTAGATACTCAATAAAAAATATATATAATACACTAATACAGTAAATAATATCTAATTTAAAACAGTAACCTTTTTAGTAAGTAAATTAGGTAATATTTAATTGGATATATTTTTTTACGTTATACTTCTATTACATAGGTATACTTTTTAAATTACAGTTTTTGGGAATTTTTTAAACATGATATAGTAGAACTTATCAAAGCTATCTATTATTATTTATAAGATCCTACTTTTTTACAAAGATAAGATTAAGATATGAATTTAATAATAAATTAAATAATAGGTTCTGTTTAGGTTTTTCTGCCGTATTATTTATCTCAAACTCTTCATCAAATTTTATTTGTTGGATATTAGTCCAATTTGTAGTCTGAATTATAAAATAGCATAACTTTTGTTGCGTTTTAAGTATTTAAATTATTTAAAACGAAACACAAATATTAGCATTTGGTAAAAGTTTCAAATTTCTATAACTAAGTATAGCTATGCTTACCTTTTATTTTAATTATAACAAAATTCAAAATTTRTCATAACTAGGTTTGCCCGACTAAAAGCCGAAATATGACATTTTGCCTAAGGATTGTGGGCAGTTCGCATTTCGGAGCTATTGAATTGGCTCCCAAACTCAGGTAATCGTCATTTTTACGTATTTAATTGGCTCCCAAGATTTATGCATTGAGTTGGCTCCCTTTTTATTTTATAAATCAATTGGTCATCAAAATTGTTTGAAAATAAATTCAACTATAAGTACGTCTATATGTTATAACGTTATACGTTAAACATATAAAAGTTGAAAAAGTACGTGACTGTAATATTTTTAGCGACACAGTGTTGGTTTGTCTTGAAATTATCAATTCGTTAATCCGATAACGTATTTATACAACCTATACAGGTATAGTATAGTATTTCACTGATATCATTAAAACGGGTGTGAAAAGTTGGGTGACCAAAGCTAGGTGACTAATTTTTTCGGTTAGGTATACTTGCATACTCGGTTGCATTACAGTATTTTCTAAGCGCCCACCGTTTATATTGCCGTTACACAAACGGTTAGGTTAGGTTAATCTAGGTTTATAGAACCTATGTTTCTATGTTAGAACAAACAGTTCTACTTCCATTTCTGACCACAGGATAGCGGCATAGGATTTGTCACAAACTATTTTGTTTTAAATTATTTAACCGGCAAAAATAAATTAACAATCATAGCTACATAAATATAATATCTACATAATATACAGGGGCGTATTTAAGGGTGGGGCCCATGGGTCCCGTGCCTCCAACATTCACTGTATTTTATACCTTTTTTTTATTATTGAAATTATTAGCCTCTTTACGCTCTCTTACTTTTCAACACGATTTAAGATTTATGAATAATATCTTAAATCGTGTTTATAATATTTTTGTTGTATTCGAGAATCAGTGTTGCAGTGTTTTAATTATATGTTTTATTAATTATTATACATTTTTCCAATAAAATTGTATGTTTTTATCACACATGTATTTGGATTATTTGGTTATGAATAATATGAATGATGATAATATTTATTGAGATGAAAAATATGAAACATTTTATATCTCTAACGCCACATATACGCTAATTTAAATTTTGAACTATTTGTTAGTGCCCTCCTCATAAGTCATTTCTAAATACGCCCCTTATAATATACATGACGATAACAGTTTTATATTTATATTTATATTTATAATATCGCATTGGAAGTTATTAAATATTAATATTATAAAGGACATAACATACATATTCGGAAAGCCAGGAAAATTGTCTACCTGACCATATCGTTTCCAAGAACCACCGGAATTCCTTAGTAATCGTACTTAGCTCACGAAAGACCCAGGTGACTGTTTTCAGTATGACGCGTAACGTTTA